TTTTTGTTTTTCTCATATAGAATTGATCCCCACTTAATATCAATTGATGCTTACTTTTTTCAGTGCAGCTATATCAAATTTGTATGACTTTATCTCCAATATGACCAGACCTGTTTTTATTTTTTGGTGCTGAGTTGTTGTCTTGGAGAGTTTCAAATATTCAAGTGCCAAGATAAAGCATATAGTGTTTCGTAGAGTTTTCGCAGAAGGCCGGATATGTGAGGAACTAATTAGATGTAGTTGTAAGAAAAACAACACAATTATTTTTAACTGTGGTGAAGGCTGTTCAGACCATCCACACTTTGAAAATCATAAATGATCCGTTGAAAGTAAATTGCAAAGTTAAAATGCCACGGAAACTCCGAACAACAATATATAAAATACGGAGCTTTAAAGAACCAGGTTGAAATTGGCGAGGTGTTAGCTAAAATTGAATTGATGAGGGTAAATTTCATTCTGAGGTTTTTCACAAACAATCGTTTTAGTGTTGGTTTCACGATAAAAGAAGACTTAAAAAAAGGAAAACTCATGACACCTTAACCCGGTCATTATATTCCATGTTGTCATACTGCTGTCAGAAGTGTACTGTCTCAGAATTGAATGGAAAAATATAAACATTATATATATATATATATATATATATATATATATATATATATATATATATATAAAGAATTATAGTCTTAAGACGTTCTATATTTATAAAGCGCTAAATATCAGAGATATTTATATTTATTTAAATATAAATCATAGATTATCAAGAAGTTAATTAAAAGGGAAGCCTGACGATTGCATCTAGCATGAAACAGTACGTGGCCTCTAAGTACAAAATTTCAATGTTATAAATAAATATATATATATATATATATATATATATATGAGAAACAAGTCAGTATCAGTAATCGTCATGAAGGTATTTCAGATATGCTAATATTGTGTGTCCTCTCCTACTTATCGACGAATGAGAAAATGTTCCGTCGATAAAAGCAGATAGGGTTCTTGAATTGAGGAGAAAAAATTCGTTTATTTTGCTACCACGTTTGCCAGCTAGTGTTTTATTTTTCTGACTGTTTACGTGCATTGGGATTTGTGACCTAGGACCTGCGAATCGAAATTTCGACATTTTTGGGGGCCTGATATCTGAGTTTGGACTTGAGATTTGTTTTCTTCGTTGTGTAAGTAATCTGTGACATTAATTTCTGAACAGCAATTTTTTGACTATATATATATATATATATATATATATAATATATTTTTTTATGTTTATACTTTCTTTTTATAGATATAAATACTTAAGTAAATGCTCTGTTTATAATAAACAGTATTAACAACATTTACCGGCCTGAATGTCCGAGAAATTTTCATAGAAAATATTCGTCCTCCGACAGGAATCGAACCTGTATCCTATACGGAACCGTCATTTAGCCTGACGTGCTTTGAACCGATTGGGCCACAGAGGAGCGTTCGGCTAGAAATGTCGATTTTACTTTGTTTAAACACAATTCTCCATGGTTTTCACTCATTCATTTATATCTGCTCAATGCGTATCCAACTGTAAAAAAAAATGACGTCATACATTATGAAATGGACAAAGCCCGACAATTATTTAAGACATTTTTATGTTCATATATATATATATATATATATATATATATATATATATATATATATATGAATTTATGTAGGAGATATATATGATGTTATCGGTGCTATCGGACTTTTTAATTTAGCGTACGTCATTTTTGGAAAGTGCCTGAATTTGGGGTGACCCAAGCCTTCTGAGTGAAATTGGGTAAACGGAACACTTAGGGTCCGTCGATAGCTGTGCTAGCCTGAAGCCATAAGTCATCTTGGCCGATGGATTGAGCGTGCTGACTTTGTTCAAAATGTTGATCACGCTAGATAACACGCTCTTTCCCCAAAACTGTAACTAAGGTCTGCTCAGCGCAGTTGCAGTATAAACCACTGTGGGTGTTGAATAAATAAAAATGCACCTGAGCAAGCCCCCACAATAAGGATTGGCAAGCCGCCCTAGTAGATAGGTATCCTCGAGTATGAGTGGCCAGCTATATATATATATATATATATGTGTGTGTGTGTGTGTGTGTGTATGTGTGTGTGTGTTTGTGTGCGTGTGCGTGTTTGAATGAAATATATCATGAAATGTTCTATATCAACGACTCTTTCTATCAGATTCGTTTGGTGATTTTGAACTTGAAATTTTTTAAATTGAAAATCAAAATGAAGAGAATTTTGTTTTACATTTTCGTTATAGGATGCTATTTATATATATATATATATATATATATATATATATATATATGAAGAATTATATATATATATATATATATATATTTATGGGATAAAGAATACTAAAGGTCAAAAATAGAATGAAAATAAAAGAATTTGCTATATTTAAGTTTTAAAAAACGATTGCATCTAGCATGAAACATCTGTACTAAATGTGGACGCATGCAATGATACTTTATAAATTATATATAGGCACACAACACACACACACACACACAACACACACACACACACACACACATATATATATATATATATATATTTTGGTTGGATATATGTGAGTAACCAAATATGTTATAAAAGAAAAAATCTGATTTTCCAAAAAAATTAATATAATTTATAAATAATTATATATATATATATTTATTTTATTTATATATAAATATATATATATATATATATATATATATATATATATATATCATTATTTTCTGAAAATAAAAACAGGGAATAAGATAAGTAACATTTATAGACATCGTGCCATATCTTTTTCTTTTTCTTTTTTTCATAAGTCACCCGCGTGCTTCGATAATGGAAATCTTCATCTTTAAGATTCGAGACAACGAAGAGATACTTCACATATCTCATATGATCTCTGTAAAGAATCTGAAAGCACATGGATTTGTGAATCGACCCAATCTGTTGATGCTTCATGATAAAAATTAAGGAACTGCATATCTTCCTGTGTTTCCTTGTCCCAAATCCGCAAAAAACTATAACAAGCGTTGAAAGATAGTATCTTTACAACAATGACTGATTTTTTTTGTACAGTTTATCTATTGCAGGTTAGTTAAAACCAGAAAATATTTATGGATTGTATGAATTTGGGGGAGATTTTTTTAAGCAATCATTGCAAACAAGGTATGGTGTGCCACAAGCACGCAATTTTTAACAGAGAGTGAGAGCAAAAGTAAAAAGGGTTTGTTTGAGGAAAGGATAAAAAAGAGAAGGACGGGGATCAAGATCAAGGGATCAGAACATGTTGACATTACATATGCCATATGAATAGAAAGAAAGAAGATAGATAGATGAATAACTGAAATATTTTGTTAGATAGATAGATAGATAGATAGATAGATAAGATATGAAAAACCTAGATAGATAGATAAATGAAATAGATCTTTAAGAAAAACCTAGATAGATAGATAGATACGAATATAAAAAAGTATTTATAGAAAAAGATAGATAGATAGATAGATAGATAGATAGAATAGAATATGAAAAACCTAGATAGATAGAGATCAATTTAGATGAAATTTAATAAAAACCTAAATCGAAAAATAGATAGATAGATGGAATAGTTTAAAGATAGATAATTAATAATATAAAAACCTAGAAATGATAGATATATAGATAGATAGATAGATAGATATGAAAAATATTTATGATATAAAGATAGATAGATAGATAGATATAAAAAAAAAAGATAGATAGATAGATAGATAGATAAATAGATATAAAAAAAGACTGAAATATCAAAAGATAGATAGATAGATAGATAGATAGATAGATATATGAAAAATCTAGATAGATTGATAGATATGAATTTCTTTTTCCTTAAGCATATCATCCCAAGCAAGGCATGAGTGCCACGAGCACGCAAGGGGTTACAGAGAGAGAGAGCAAGAGTAAAGAGGGGGGTTGTTTGAGGAAAGGATAAAGAGAAGGACGGCGATCAGGAATCAAGGCCTCAGAAGATGTCGATTGACATTACATTTGAATATTTGAAGATTATAGCGATCTCTTCTTTTTAAGCATTTTACACCAAGTAAGGCAGGATTGCCACTATCAAGGGGTTACAGAGAGCGAGAGCAAAAGTAAAAAGTGTTGTTTGAGTAAAGAATAAAGAGAAGGACGTGAACAAGAATCAAGGCATCAGAAGATGTCGATTGACATTACGTTTGAATATATGAAGATTACATTAGGAAGCTATTTAATGAAAGGGAAGCTGAAAATTCAATCGGTCCAGAAGAGGAACTGAACTAGAGAAGAGGACCCAAAATAACATAATGGACTATTCCATACGTAATAAATACTGCGCCTCAAGAGGAAGCAGGGAGTTCAGTCTGAAGTCGGGGCGACCGGCTGACCGGCTGATCGGTTGAACTCTCTGCCTTCGGGCGGGGAGGAACCCGAACGAGGCTACGCCGAAGGGCGGAGTCTCTTTCGGGGAGGTAAACCGACCCTGAACCCGTTTATACGGGTTCAAAGGGCATATTTTTGGCCGAGCCCACGGGCTCGGAGATCCCACGTTAAACCGGCCTTGTGCCACATGATGCCCTCGTGGGGGGGGGTGACTAAATACCGTTCCGTCTGAAGTCTAGAGTTCAGTCTGAAGTCTGGAGTGAAGTCCGTCAGGAGTCTGTCAGTCAGTCAGAGCGAGCGAGTCAGTCAGTCGAGTCAGAGGCAGTCCGAAACAGAGTCGCGTTCAGACAATTACTACTAAACCTGATTGTTCGTACTAACACTTTCTACTTCTCTGTATATATTCCTGTTTGTAATATATCTGTGTTATTCCATATCCGTGTTCGAGTTCTTCTTTATTGGTTCTACCTTGGACTATCACCGTGGTACAAGGAACCGGACCATAACAAATTTATCGCGAAGAGAGGAAAAATTTAAATTTCACCAGTTATATATTGTTTTATTCAATGCAAAGATTTGAATTTGTTTTTTAAGTTCAAAAAAACAAAAACCTTCTGGTTATCGACATAAAGAACCAAAATACAACTGATACATTGATAAATTTTTTAGCCCATACAAAATGGAGAATCAAATTTGGATTTTGCAATTAGGAAAAATTAATATAAAAAGAAAATTGGAAAAAAAATATTTAATTACATTTGAATAGTCGAAAATAAATGCACAAAAAATTATCTTTATTCTGGAAAAAAAATAGAAAGTTTCTTTTCATTTAATAATTGAATTAAGGTATAAATAAAAAGAGAAAAATTCAATCAATTATTGTTAAAAAAAGATTTAAATAAATTTTAATGATTAAAAGGAAATTAAAACCGTTTCAGGAAAACAAGAAGAAGGGGTTCTCCTAATATTTGAAAAAAAATTAACACAAAAGGATATTTGATTGAAAAAATTTATTGCTTTTTGAAAATAGTTTTTTTTTAAAAAATAGAAAAAAAAATACTTTTTAAAACAAAACGAACGATTTTTAAAAAACAAAAAAATTTCTTGTATTTTTGTTTTTACAAATATTTTGCTTTTTAATTCTAAAAAAATTAAATATAAGAACATTCAAGAGTTCAATTCTGGAAAAAATGTTTTAAAAATTAAAAATTAAATTATAAAATTTTAAAAAATTTGAAAAAATTCATTAATAAATTTTGTTATAAAAACAAATTAATTATAATTTTCAAATGTGGAATTTTAAATTTATTAATGAAGAAAAAAAAAGAAAAATAAAAAAAAAAAAACAAAAATTTTTCAAAAAAGTCGATAAAAATATAAAAAATTTATCAAAAATCTTTAAAAAACCAAACAGAAATGAACTAAATAATAAATTTAAATCCATATAGTATATATTATATATTTAAACAATCAAGAACAGCATTTATAAAAAATAAATTTTAACTTGTATGGGATTAAAATCCATTCAAAATAAAGATTTTATAACGATGGACAGCCGTAGGTTTTTAAATTCTCATCGGAAAAATGGTTTTCAATTTTTCTATATTTATAAAACATGGTTTTTCTAGATCTTTACATTATTTTTTTTTATTTTTTGATTAAAATTAAATTTAATAAGGGTTTTATTTTTGTCCAATATTTTTTTCAAAATTATTTTTAAAAATAAAAAGATATTTTAATAAAATTAAAAAAAAGCAAAGATGAAAGAAAAAAACGAAAAAATAACAATGGTTGAAAGATTCAAAGAAAGAAAAAAAAGAAAAAATAAGAAAAAAGAAAAAAAAAAATTTTCAGTTTGATATCGAAAGAAATTTAAATGCATGATCAAACGAAATTTAAATATCTTTCTAAAAAAAAAATAAAAATGAATTTCATACATTATTATTTGAAATTTTTTTGAAAGAAAGAAAGAAAAAAAAGAAAAAAAAATCATGTGAAAGAAAGAAAGAAAGAAAGAAAAAAAGATATTTTCTTGATGAACGAAAATAAAAAGGATAGAAAGATTTTTCTTTTCTTGAAAGACATATGTGAAGGGAAAGGTAAATAGAAATTTGATTAGAAAGAAAAAAAAGAAAGAAGATTTAGAAAGAAAGATTTTTTTTAAGAAAGAAAGAACTTTGCATTTTCCCAAATGAAAAAAAAAAATATAAAGAAAAAAAAAAGAATTCGAAATTTCAATCTTAAAGGAAAAAAAAAAAGAAAAAAAAAAAAAAAAAAAAGTTATTCTTTGTTTTTTAAAGAATAAAAAAATAAAAATATCAAAAGTTAAATAAATGCATGATATTTGAAAAATTCCAATATTTTGAAATAAATTTTAAAGTTTTTCCACGATAAGTTCAAAAGGGAAAGAAAGAAATTGAAAATAAAAGAAAGAAAGAAAGAAAGAAAGAAAAAAATTTTTGAATGAATATAGATATAATTTAATGATTTTGTTCAGAAAGAACAAAAAAAGAAAATCAAACGACAAATTGGAAAGAAAGAATTAAAAGAAAAAAAAGAAAGAAATTTTGAAAAGAAAAAAAAAAATAGCACTTTATTTTGAAATAAGATTTTCAATAAAAATGAAAGAAAATAGTTAAAAAAAAAAACATATTCATTTCGACAATGAAAAAATATTCAAACTACCAAAAGAATAAAAAAAATGAAAAAATTTTCTGAATAAAAGAAAAAAAGTATTTCATTTTCAAAGAAAGAAAAAAATTCACATGAAAAAAAAATAATTATTATTAGAAAAAAAAAATGAAAACGCCTTGAAAAATAATGAAAGAATACATCAATTTATTAAAAATTAAAGAAAGAAACATAAAAATGAAAAAAATAAGGATAAATTATTGATTTAAAAAAATAGAAATATTCAAACATTTAAAAAATTTTTTAAAGATTATAATTGAAGGGAAAAAAATTAAGCAAAAAATTTGAAAAGAAAGAAAGAAAGAAAGATTAAAAAAAGAAAAGAAAGAAAAATAAATGCAAATGAATAAAAAAAAATTGTTGAATCAAAAAAAAATTTGAATGAAATTTTTGAAAAAAAGAATTAATTAAAAAATTTGGAAAGAAAGAAATCCATTAAAAAAAGATTTGAAAAAATAAAGAAAGATTATAAATGCATGGATGAAGGAAATTAACTGTTAAAAAGAAAATTTGTTGAAAAAATTTTTGAAAAAGAATGGTTTATATCTTGTTGAAAAGAAAAAAAAGAAAAATTTTTCAAAAAAATTTAAAGAAAAAAAAAAAAAAAAAGAAAGAAAGATAAATTCAAATGATGATTGAACAATAATAATGTTGAAAGAAAGTGAATAAAAAAGAATCTATTGACATGTTTTCAACAAAGAAAGAAATTGGTCTTTTTAAAAAAGAAAGAAAAAAGAAAAAAAAGAAATGAAAAATTAGATAAATAAAATGAACGAACATTAAATAAAAAAAGAAAGAAAAAAAAAGAATGAAAAGATTAATCAAAGCTGAATTGATTCAAAAGAAAGAAAGAAATGAAAGAAACAAAAGAAAGAAAAGAAATTTAAAAAGAAAGAAAGATAAATGAAAATGGTTAAATAAAATGAAATTAAAAAAAAAATGAAAAACATTTTTGAAGGGATAAAGAAAAGAATGAAAGAAAAAAAGAAAGAAAAAGAAAGAAAGAAAGAAAGAAAGAAAATGCATGAATGAGAAATTATTTATTAATATAAAGAAAATTGAAAAAAAAGAATGAAATGACATATTTGAAAGATGAAAAGAAAGAAATTTTTTAAAAAAAAGAAAAAAAAAAAAAAAAAAAAAGAAAAAAAAACAATTGGGGAAATGAACGAAAATAAATATGAAAAAAAAAAGAAAAAAAAAAAAAACAATCTTTTGGAAGAAAAGAAAGAATTTTTTTAAAAGAAAAAAAAAAAAAAAGAAAAAATAAAAAGCATTTTTAAAAAAATAAAAATAAAAAAGAAAGAAAAAAAAAGAAAAAAATTTGAAGAAAGAAAAAAAAAAAAAAAAAATAAAAAGAAAAAAGAAAAAAAAAAGAAAGAAAGGTTAAAAGATAAATGCAATGAAAACGAACAACAAAAAAAAAAACTGATTTAAAAAAAAATTAAATTTATCTTAAATTTTTAAAAGAAAAAAAGAAAAAAGAAAAGAAAAGAAAGAAAGAAAAAAAAGAAAAAAAGAAAGAAAGAAAGTTAAATGAAATGAAACGAACAAAATTTGTTGATAAAAAAAAAAAAGAATGAATTTATTGAAAGGGAAAGAAAAAGAAAGAAAAGAAAGAAAGAAAGAAAAAAAGAAAAAAAAAAGATTAAAAAAATAAAACGAATTTAAATAAATGAAAGAAAAAAAAAGAATGAAAAGAAATAATCTTGAAGGGAAAGAAAAAAAGAAAGAAAAGAGTTTAAAAAGAAAGAAAGAAAGATTAATGCATGATGAACGAACATTTAAAAATATAATTGAAAAAAAAAAAAAAAAGAAAGAAATATTTTAAAAAGGAAAGAAATAAAAGAAAAGAAAGAAAGAAAGAAAAAAAAAAAAGAAAGAAAAAAGAAAAAAAGAAAGAAAAAAGAAAGGAAGAAAGAAAGAAAGAAATAAATGATAAAAATAAAGAAAAAAATGATTTGAAAGAAAAAAAAAAAATGAAAGGCAGAAAATCTTGAAGGGAAAGGAAAAAAGAAAGAAAAGAAAAAAGAAAGAAAGAAAGAAAGAAAGAAAGAAATAGAAGGAAATATGAAAAGGAAAAATAATTTCTGTTTTTTGAAAAAAAAAAAAAGAATGAAAAAAAAAAGAAAGAAAGAAAGAAAAAAGAAAAAAAAAGAAGCAAAAATTTGCTGAAAAAGAAAGAAATTTCTTAAAAAAAAATGAATAAAGAAAAGAAATACTACTTTGAAAAAAAAAAATGAAAGAAAGAAAAAGAAAGAAAAGAAATAGAAAAAATAAAAATAGGGAAAAAAACAAAAATAGGTTAGATTCTTTTCAAAAAAAGAATTTTTTTTGAAAAATAGAGAGAAAAAAAAAAAATTAAATAACAAAAAACAAAAAATTTTGAATAAAAAGAAATCCATGGAATAAAAAAAAGAAAAAAAACAATATTGAAAATAAAAAAAGCGGATATAATCAAAATATTTTTAACAATAACGGAAAACAAATCCAGTGTGAAAGGAAATGAATGAAATAAAATCTAGAAAATTACCAAAATCTATGAAAGATGTGGTAATTAATCAGGCAAAGCCTCTGATAGATAAAATGACGGATGTAAAGAAATGGCTGGGCTCAACTGTCATCGCCTCTGATTTATTTCTGTGTGATGATGAATAACGTCAATCAGCCAATGAAGTTCATCAAATTTGGCGGGAAATTTGCTATGGCAAATATTCAATAGTTTAAAATGGCCAATCAAATTCTTTTATTTATTTATTTATTTTATTTTTTATTTATTTATTTTGCAGTCTTTCCTTTTTCTCGTTTAATAGTTTTTCTTGTCTATCGCTGGGAATTTTTCATTGTTTTCTTTTCGTTATCATTTATCCAGATATTTTCTACAAGACATTATATTTTGTAGGGGCATTTTTTTCTTTATATTTTCACCTTGTTCTTATTTTTTTCTTATTTAGATTTTATTTAAATATTGAAATATTTATCTATTGCTCAGGTAATGTTCATTGTTTTGTTGTAGAAGCGTGAGCTCTCCAGAAAATTTGCTATTGAATTTAAAAGCAGGATTACTTAATTAGTACCTGGGAGCATCCTAAATCGTACAAATTTTAGTTGAAGGAGATAGGACGCTTATTATTTTTTCTTTCGTTCTCATGAGTACTTAAATAAACGTAAACATCACATTAGTTCGATATATATATATATATATATATATATATATATATATATATATATATATATATATATATATATTAAAATGAATCATTCATACAAAAAGCAAATTTGTAAAGTTAATGATATAAAATGGCGAAATCCCTTCGCTAAAAAACGTTTAAAGGTGTATTAACCTACAAATCACTCGATGAATGGTATGGTCCTTGTTTGTTTGTTTTTTTTTTTAATTTATAAGCTGTGTAATGTCTTTTTTACATACGTACGTACTTTCGACTGTACATTCAGTCATCTTCAGGCATGGAAATTAATTTGTTTTTGGTAAAATTAAGGTAGCATCCGAGATGAAATATCACGCGAATCGAAATACGTATTTTTTAAATGTGTTATTGATAACAGATACAAACTTTTGGAGCGTGAATTGTAATCATAATCCCAATTCATCAGACCGACAAATTCAAGAAGACATCGGAAAAAAATTTGAATTTGTAGTTTTGATGAATTGGATTGTATTTACGATTCCAATGGAATAAATTATGACCATGGAATATTAGTGTTTAAGCCTTTTTATTATATCCTTACTCTGTCCTGGACATTGAGTTCTACCTGGATTCTATCCTCTTGGAATTTTTTATTCAAAAAATATACATGTATGTGTATGCACCTATGTATATATATTTATATATATTTTGCATATGTATGTGTATATTTACCACTATTTTATTATCTATATATATATATATATATATATATATATATATATATATATATATATATATATATATATATATATGTGTATACACACACACACACACATATATATATATATATATATATATATATATATATATATTCCTGAAATAGCATATTTATGTTGAAGCCATCCTAATGAAAAATCCAACTCAGCTGGACATGGCATCATTCTCTTTGGATAAATTTTTAGCAAGCAGGTCAGTTGAACGGCTCCTTTTGTGTTTCAAAGACATACTCAAAGACAATCTGAAAAGAGAAAGCATCTCCTTTTCTTCCTGGGAAAACAAAGCTTCATAGCAAAGACCTGGGCGCCTGTCCTGCTTCTCATCTATACAAAGGTTGGAGCCTGGCCGACACAGCAGTGTGTAAGTATTAAAGAAAGTTGACAGCACGTTGCTCCTCCCAATGATAGCCTTTTACCTGCCATTGTGTCTCTGCCACACGCAATAAAGCAAGCCGTGCTGTCCACTTGCTGAAAAATGTTATAATTGATTCACAACCACTTGAGCGAAATGGCTCAACAACATGTTTCATATCTACAAGTTTACGAAACGCCTGCAGGCCTCAGGAGATACGTATTTCCATAGACGTTGAGCACATTGATATATTGAGAGGTTATATGATGATAATGATTACGATGACGGCGATGATGATGTCGACGATGACGACGATGATGACAAGGACGATAACAATGATGATAAAAACGATATTGACGATGATGATGATAACGATGCCGATGACGATGATAGTGATGACGATGATGATGACGACGATGACGATGATGAAAAAAACGATGATGTCGATGATGATGATGATGATAACGATGATGATGATGACGATGATGATGATGATGATGATGATGATGATGACGATGATGATGACGACGATGACGATGATGATAAAAATGATGGTGTCGATGATGATGATGATGATGATGATAACGATGACGGCGATAACGATGACGATAACGATGACGATGGTGATGACGATGATGATGACGACGATGACGATGATGATAAAAACGATGGTGTCGATGATGATGATGATGATAATAACGATGACGGCGATGACGATGATAACGATGATGATGATGGTTATGACGATGATGATGACGACGATGACGTCAATGACAATGATGATAAAAACGATGGTGACGATGATGATGATAACGATGACGGCGATGACGATGACGATAACGATGATGATGATGGTTATGACGATGATGATGACGACGATGATAAAAACGATGGTGACGATGATGATGATAACGATGACGGCGATGACGATGACGATAACGATGATGATGATGATGGTTATGACGATGATGATGACGACGATGACGTCGATGATGATGATAACAATGACGGCGATTATTATGACGATGACGATGATGAGGACCATAACGATGATGATGATGGTGATGTCGACGACGATGACGTCGATGACGATGATGATAAAAACGATGGTGACGATGATGATGATAACGATGACGGCGATGACGATGACGATGATGAGGACGATAACGATGATGATGATGATGGTGATGACGATGATGATGACGATGATGACGTCAATGACGATGATGATAAAAACGATGGTGTCTATGACGACGACGATAACGATGACGATGATGACGATGATGACGATGATGATGATTTGACTGGACACGTATCGAGTAACTGCAAAATGAAAAAGTCACATTTATGGAGACAGCCAATATGGCTAATAGAATATTTTGTGAAAAATGCTTAACTAAACCATATTTTTTTTTAAATAATTCATATATTTGCATAATGCACCCAATCCGTTAAAAATACAAATCAGTAATTACTTGTATAAAACTTTTACATGTCGGAGAT